CTTGGTGTGGACCCGGGTGGGCCTGTCTGGGCGCTCAGTGGGGCCCTGCTGTGGACTCAGGGTGGCCTGTCTGGGCGCTCAGTGGGGCCCTGGCGCAGACTCGGCTCTGTCCGTGCGAAGCTGAAGCCCTTACCTCTGTGTGCGCAGGTCTGCCCCGGGCCCACCCCCAGCCCTCTCTGATCGCGGCCACGCTGTCCAGGTCCCCCTGCCCGGGATTCTGCATCCATTAGACTGGCACTCTGTCTTAACCAGGGCCCTCCCCAGCTGGCAAGTCACTGAGCTCCTGCAGCTCCGGGCTTTGTTTCATTTTTGTTTCTGATTTGCCAGAGGGCGCATGCACTCACGGGAGTGCAGGGTCGGGGGGTGAAAGCACTTTTTTGGGCACACACGGACACATGCCTGGCGTGTTTCTCCAGCCTCTGGCTAGCCTGCAGCTCTGTTTTTCAGTGTCTTTATTTCTTTATCTCTAACACCGGGGGAGACAGACAGCACCCCGATAGGATCTCAGTGCTGTGGTCCATCCCCAGCCTCGGCCAACCCTGGATCATGGGTGTGCTCAGGCCAGGCGTGCCCAAGGTCTCCAGGTGTGACCCTGGGACCTCCCCACAGAGCACAGTGTCCTACTGCTGCACCCCTAGAGAGGCCGAGCTGGGCTGGACCCTGTGCTGGGGGGTGCGGAAGAGGGACAGTCCCCCGGCCCCGGATCTCTGCCTCACCATACTGTGCTGGGGATTGACCAGGGCAGGTTAGGGCTGTAGGGAAGCCCTGGGCTCTATCCTGCCCTCTGGCGCCTTTTCTGTGATGGGATAGTGTGCAGGTGGGGGCGCTGCCAAGGTGGGGTTACCCCTGGGGTGGGGGTACCCCCGCTTCAAGTAGCGCTGGGGTTTGTCCTGCTCGTCAAACTGCCGCCTCCCACCTCCGCGCTCAGCACTGAGGACAGCGGCCCGGACGGCTGCTGCCGGGGTTTCGCAGAAGCAGAGCAGTTACTGGGGCTCGTTAGCGGATCTGTGTCTCAGCTTGTTTTCCCAGACATCCCCAGAGACGGCTTTCTTGCAGCTTCCCGTAAATGTGAGCAAGAGGGAAGGAATGGGGCACACCCACAGGGTGCGAGGCTGGGTCTGGGAACCAGCTGAGCCCTGGGGCTGTGCGGAGACGGGGTCCTCTGCTGGGAACTTCGGGCAGCCCAGGCGGCAGCGCTGTGCTCCCAGACACGGGGCTGGCTCAGGGCAGCCCACGACTCCCGGAGCTGAGCACAGCCCTGTGCCCGATCACCCTGCACGGGCCGATCCTAGGGGGCCTGAGAGCCAGGGCAGGGTGGCCTTGCTCCCTGAAGTCAGCCCTGAGGTCCCATGAGATGACATCGTGCAGGTCCTGGAAGTGGCAGGACACTGAATGCCTCCCTTCTCAGATGCCCGTGGAGCTGGAACCTGTGGATATCCAGGTGCAGATGGCAACCTTGCTCCCACGGGCATCCTGAGGACACTGACCTCGCCTGGCCCTGCACAGTCACGGAGGCCAGTCAGGGCTCCAGAGCGGAAGCCCCCAGGCCCTTCTTTCCTTTTAATTAAAGACAAGGTCTTACTGTGTCATCTCCAGCTGGGACGGTAGGCCACCATGCCCAGCCCTTCTTTCAGGCCGGGTCTTGCTCTATTGCCCAGGCCAGCTTGAGCCTGGGGTTCTCCCGCCACAGCCTCGCGAATCACTGGGGTTGGAGGCATGTGCCACAGTGCCCAGCCTTTGGGTTGGGCTGGGACTTGAACCCAGGTGTACCCATGGTCCCAGTCTGCAGAGCACAGCGTCTTAGCAGCGTGTCTCTCTGCAGCTGGGCCCCCTAAGCCTTCGTTCCTTTTTCTTTTTTAATCACCAGCAGGTGTGTGTGCTAGCCACAGAGTGGGGGAGAGGGAGAGAGAGAGCATCCCCTTGTGGGGTGCTTCTCCATCTTGCTATCCCGTCAGGAGCCGGGGCGTAAGCACACACATGCCCAGCGTGTGTTTGTTTTTGAGAGCATGAGAGTGTTGCTATAGGGGGTATGTGCTTGCCAGAGAGACAGAGGGAGACACAGAGAGACAGGAGTGAGACAGGAGCGAGAAATTACCTCCAGTGGGGAGGGCCACACTGCAGTCCCTTCTCTTCCATTCTCATCTCAAGATCTTGGACGCACACATACATGCGCCTGGCATGAGCTTCAAGCCATTGACTAGAATTTGGACCGTGGTCCAGCATGTGGGAGTCCAGTACGCCACCTGCTGACCCCAGCCCAGCATATTTTTCATGCCCCCAGGGCTGGGATTTGAACCATAGTCAGCCATCCCTGTGGGATCCAATTCCCTTAACTACACGGCCATGAGGACAGCCCCTGCCCCAAGCCGTAGGAAGGTTTTCCCCACATCTTTTCTGCCAGCCAGCACCCGGCAGCATCTCCTGCCCTGACCCCCAGGGGACCTGATCCATCGGCTTAAATTCCTGCCAAGCGCCAGGGCTCTACTTCTTGGAGGGGCTCCAGGACAGGCCTCCTGGGGAGCCCCCCCCCCATAGTGGCAGGGCAGGACTTACAGCTTCTTCCTTTATCTCGGCGAGCACTTGGTGAGCCCCAGGTGTGTGGTCTGGGAGCCCCACAGCCCCCGCCTGCTGTGGTCCCCAGTGCTGAGTGTGCAGGCGTCCGGTCCTTGGGACACTCCTCTGGGGACCGGCTCCCCCCTGCAGCAGCCAGGGCCGGCCAGGCAGGAGGGGCAGCCCACCTCGTGGCCCGGAGACTTCCAAGCACTGCTTTGGCATCCAGAGGGCTGTTGGGGTCTTCTGAGCTCATCTGCAGGGGCTGGTCTGTCCCGTGTGCCATGTCTGGCCAGCTAGGACGGCCTCAGACTGGAAAAGAGGTGCAAGGACAGGATGGGACCTCTGGGTCATGGGCCAGCGTCTCCTAGATGTCATCGTCCAGGGACAGACCACTGCCCGCTGCAGCAGGGCAAGGTGCTGGAACTGTGTCCCCTGACCCCCACCCATTTCCTCCCATGGCTCTGCCCTACCTGTAGGAACGTAGGAGGAGGGATCGCTTAGCTTCTCCCTGAGGGCCACCGTCAGCCCTTCCCAGCCTGCAGTGCTGCCAGGAAAGGACAGGAAACTGGAATCCCTAGGGCTGGGCCACTCGGCCACTCGGGACCAACTCAGCCAGGTCTCTGTGCCACATGCAAAGCATGACAAGCCACTGAGTCCCATGACTCCTTAAAGAGGGTTTTAAATTCTGGGCTCCCTCACCCCAAATGGAAGTCCTCTTCTTGCCTCCCCTGAGCCCCAGCCCTGGCCCCGTGCCTGACTGCATTGTGCCCGCCATGCCGTGGGGCAAGGTCCTGGTCACGGGATGAACCCAGGTGGGTCCTCGATGCCCATAGGTGTAGGGAGCCAGGACAGACAACAGGACAGACAGTGGGCCGTCCTTCACAGCAGGGCAGCAGGCCTCATACAGGCAGGGGCAGGGGACTCCTGGAAGACAGAGCTGGAGCAGACTGACATGCAGACTTCCTAGAACCATGGAGTGACAGGAGGGGACAGGGCCTGGCCCTGTGTTGGGTGGCGTGGGCAGAGCATGGGAACCATGGCTTGCTACTCTGAGAATAGATTCGTACTGCGAAGTTACTGGACCCCCAGGCCAGGGACCAGAGACAGGCACGTGTGTGTGGCCACCAAGGTGCTACGACCACAGAGACACCAGAGACGGGCAGCTGGGAGCCCCTGGTGTGGGGGAAGGACAGGTACAGAACATGGGGCGAGGTAAGTGGGCCCTGCCTGCCCTCGGGGCTCCTCACACCGCAGCCCTGCAGAAGCATGTGCTGGGGTGGGGGCACTAAGGTCAGGAAGCTTGGCAGCCCGGGCCTGAGTGAGGGACAGAGATGTCACGTCCCTCTGATGAGGTCGCATCAAGATTTAGGTCAGGGGACATCAGCGTCACTTGGAACCAGCTGAGTGTGAGCCAGAGGTTGTCCCTGAAGCCATGCTCACCAGCCCTGGCTCAGTGTTGGCCCGTTGAGATAGAACTCACGTGCCATACAAGGCACCGCTCCACACTGAGGTTCAGGGGCTTAGCATATGCCCAGCTGTGCAGCCGTCACATGTCGGATGTGGGTGCTTCCATCACTCCACAGGAAAGCCTGCCCTCCTGAGCCTCCACTCCTGTCCCCCCAGGCAACCACTCAGCTACTCTGAGGATCTGCCTATTCCAGATCATTCATAAAAATGGAATCATCTGGGACCAGCAGATGGCATAATGGTTATGTTGCTGGACTCCCATGTAGTCACTGCAGTTCGAGTCCTGGACTCAGCAGCTGAAAAAATCCCAAGAGTAGATTGGAGAAGGCATGTGGCATGGCCATCCCCGTGGGCGGTGATTTCTTGCTTTCTGTCTTGGGCGAGCAAATGCAAAAATCTGTAGCAAAAATCTCGGGGCTGGCAGGTGGCGTGGTGGTTAAGAGCACTGGACTCCCACATGGCCGACCGTGGCTCAAGTCCTGGACCTGACGGCTTGCTTTCTCACTTTCCTTCTCTCTCTCTCTGTCCCTCTCTGGTCAAAATAAAATGAATATATAAAATAAAGTTCAATAAATTGTTTAAAAAAGAACTATAGCAAAAGTCTCTCTTAAAAAATCCAAACTGGAATCATCCAATATGGCCTTTAGTGACCGGCTTCTTAATGTTTTCAAGGGTCATCTATAT